TACAGGCATCTTCCTTCCTCCAGCGCATCTTCTCCTCCAGCGCTGCTCCTCCTGACTCAGCGCACAAGTGCACCAGCACTTCCACGCATTGGCAGCCAGTGGAGATCTGGGTAGGAATGAGGCTGGCTGCCTCCTTTATACTCCTCGCTGGGTCTGTATTGGCTCAATCCAGCTGGGTCTGTATTGGCTCAATCCAGCCTTCCTTTTGTCCCAGACCCTGCATTGCATGTGTCCCAGTAGAGTCCCAAACCAAGTTCAACTGCTGCTGAGGCCTCCCGGCCTGAATTTGGACTTGAAAGTCTGGATCTGGACTGACCCCTGGACTTAGACCAGAACTGGGACTGTGCCTATTGACTTTACTTTCGGACAGGCACAACTCTCAACGAACAGACACATTTACTGCTTGAACAGACACTTTACTTGGCACGAACAGACACACTGCCTGCACGTACAGACACACCCTTACCCAAACAGACATGACATACACATCTCCTGGTGAACAGGTAAGTCTTTTGACAATGCCCTTTGCCTTAGTTGTAAATATGCCTGTTGATAGAGAACTTGACCTTTGACCTGCTTTCACGTTTCTGAGCTCTGACGAGATACCTTTTCACAATGCTTTACTTTTTCAAGGCCCGTGCTGCTTTATTTTTACAAGGCCTGAGGCCTATATCGGGTAAAGGCCCTTTTATATATCTGTTTGACGATAAATGATATTATATCATATATATCGTATATGTAATATACATCGTCAAACAGAACTGCACGGTAAAACGTGGGTAGAGGGAGAAGAGGACAACAAACGAGGGGCTGTGGCGCACTGTTTCGTCCGAGTTTCACCGACTCATCAGGAGGCTGGATACTCTATAGTCTGCAGTCCCCTAACTGATTACACCGTATGCATAAACAGTTTGTCACAGCCCCTCGTTTGTTGTCCTCTTGTCCCTCTCTGCCCACGGTATACCGGGCATATGTTTATAGATATGTCGTCATATATATTTATATATGTATGATATATATAATAGTTATATATATTATTTATATATATATATACATGTATCGAAAAAAGACAAAGAAAGAAGACCGCTGCGACTTCGCTTGTTTGTGATGACATCAACTGCCACCACGTCAGTACGAGTGGGCATGCACAGCATCTTCCCTCCAATAGAAGGCCGGTCATTATTGCTGTAACTGAGCGACTTTCGGTCTGACTGGATACAACGATAATGATCGGGCGTTAGCGTTGTATTCTGGTGAAGACGGTAGTAGGTCAGGGTAGGCTACGTATAATATTGCCTCCTGTCACGCTGAAATGGTTGCCACATGGATCGAATGTCGGCCACGTGACGGAGGACGTCGGCCATTCAAGGGCGTCCATGTGGCATCGGGGCTTTCTTTCTTTCCTTTTTTCTTGTTTTTATGTAACTGGCGTTTTGTTTCTTCGCGGCGGGTGGCTGCAAATCTAAGGGCATACGGCCTCGTTAAACCCTCCTTGGAAATCCGATTTTTAGTAAATCGGCGTCATTACACTGCGTCCTAATTCACCAAATTCCTTGAATGAATGGGAAAACGCTCCCGAGAGATTTCCTTGGATTCCTCAGGATCCCCAGCCAAAACGTCCTTGGATTCAAGGGGTCCTCGTGAGGTCCCTTGAGTTAAAGGAGCCGCGATTGACGGAGTGTTCTGGATCGAGCGCCGACAGGAAAATTTGGAATCAATGTTGGTGCACAGGTCGTCCGTGGTCCATTGGGCGGACATTGCTGGCCTCCAGTACCCGACGGGCCCCCAACGGCCTTCCACCGTTACCGTTGGCATGGAAATGCATGGGGGTGGTTTTTCAGCTGCAAGGCGCTTAACGAAGCAGGGTTTTCCATGTGCGCGTTGCCGGCCGTGGTGTCCAACAATCGAATTTCTTTATTTGTCTACAAGCGATGTTGAAGCACTGTTGGTTGATTGCAGGCATCTGCCTAGCGTGTTTTGTCGGCTATTGTCGGGCGCATTGATGCAAGCTTTGTTTGGTACACGCCTCGCATGCTGGGATTCATGGCAGACGTCCTCCGGCGGTTCCCACTCGTGCTGCTGGGCACTCTTCTCCTGCTCCTTGTCGTGTTGTTCCACGTGTGCGTCGTTGTGCGGGGTCCTGGCAGCAGACAGAAACAACGAACGGTGAGGAAGACGACAATGGACAGGCGGGAAACCTGCAGCAGACAGCCGACGGCCACCATTGACTACTCCACTGCGCAGCTTCTCCTTGTAGTAGGCCCCCGCCGCGTCGTCAACCTGTCGGAGATCCTCCCATGTCCCTCCCATCCTTCTCCACATCCACCATCTCGGCGTCGCCCGCGGGATCACACCCGATGCCATGGCACAACAGAATTGCACAATGGATTCCGATAACGACACACAATCCGGTGCATCCATCACTTGTTGCATCAGCTGCCTCTGCCTGCGAACGGACAATCTCATCCTCAGGCGAGTTGTCGTTCTCTCAATGTGATAACGCATGGCGACCACTGACACAGCTGTGCCCACCGTGTTTCTCTCCAATGCCGTTTCTCTCCAATGCCGTTAATGCCTTCGCACCACCCGGGAGCTGTTGTTCCATCATCAGGACTTGCAATGCGCAAGCACCCACCACTCGTTCGCCTGCCGGCGCCCTCACTGCATCTTCTGCACGTCGATGGGGACCGCGTTCGCACTTTCCACGTTTCACGGAAGCGTTACATTCGCGCTAAGCTGTGATGGCCCGAAGAGCATGCAGAACATACATGCTATGTCCCCCAACG